GAAAAATTGAAGACGATTCTTCAATCTGTACGTTAGATACCCTACGATAAACGATTCGTGAGTTTATCATAAGAGACAAGAGTTCGGCAAGGTGAATATTTCGAGTGATTTATTCACTTGAAACGGGAAAATAAGATTACGAATAGTATATTTTTGGAACGTATTGTACTAGTTGAATATTTAACTCGATTCACGTCATATATACCGTACGGCATCAAAAACGAAGTTGGCAACAATGTTCAGTATTTTTCGTCATTTATTGAATATCGTAAGTACAAGAAAGATCCGAAATTTGAATACTATAACGTACTTAATTAGTCAATACTATCATAATTAATCCCGTGTTTCGATACCCGTTAATATAAATTCGGCGTTAACATTTCGGCAATGTCTTGAAACACATATCTTACGAGATTATTCGAACGAAGTGCAGCGTTCGTCAACAAGGCAACGGACATATTTTTGGATATTACTTTCATGCAGATATTTATTCTTGTCCTTGATTTTAACTTGAATGTTCGTTTGTCTTATAACAAGAAATAGCAATCGTCTCCGAACGCGAGGATATATTATTTGTTAAACTTAAAATGATGGAAATGTAAGAAAATTCAATAGAAGTGAGACAAAGGGTGACCGTCGCGCGTCATTTCGAGAAGAGTTGGGGGGGAGGGGAGGCAAACGGTTTGAAGTTATGTGCGTATCGTCGCGCGTCAATCCCGCGCTCTTCTCTACATCGCGCCATTCCACCGGTTGCCGGAAGGTCAGTTCGTTGCGTCTAGTTCTCTAATCTACGGAATGTCGCGAGATCAAGCAGAATCGTAGCCCTGTTCGAATCTTTCGTGATGATCCGCGTTAATACGAAGTGATTGATTTTCGAGAGTACAGAGTGTCGCGCGATTGTCGTGATTATAATCTCATTTGCGCGAGTGTGCGTGAACGTAATGAAAAAGCATCGTGGAGAGGCAAAAGAACTGCCGATAAGTAAGCGAGTCTGAGCTTCGTTGAATCGTTTTTTCACGCGATCTTATTTCGTTATGTTATAAAGTGGGCATTAATTAATATTGGGAATGTCGTATAAAGTATCGCGCGATTGTTGTATTCTAATTATCAGTGCGCGATCGTGTTTTCGCGAGTGCTTTAGTGCAACAAGGAAGCTGCCAAGGAGACATCAGGAAGGTAGAGGAGGCCTGGGAGACATCAGGCAATGGCGGGGGAGCAACTACAGGTAATTTATTATTTATGTGTTTATCACTTGCGGAATATTGAATACTTATCCTCGCGACATTCGTATTTTGTGTTTTTTTATTGTGGAGCACATATAAAACATTATAAATTATTTTGAAAGACTTAAAATTCATTGACAATTAAATATTAATGACATTTAATGTATATATTTAAAAAAATATTTTAGTGTATTAAAATTTTATCTATGATTTCGATTATTTGGACAGAAATTAGAGATTCTTACATTTTTGTCTTTATAAGAATTTATATCTCAAAAAAGTTTTTTGAAATTGTTTTTTCCGATTAAATATATATATGATTAAAAGACAAATAAATAAATCACGTGTAATATTTTTAAAAATATTTATTGGTTTGTCGTTGTTTAATTTGGATATATTTATGTGTTACACATTGATGTACACTACAACTGCTGCGCATTGTACTGGTAAATTTAATTATTTCTTAATTTTAAGGCAATATGTATGTGAAAATTACATCAAAAGTATATCATATAAAAAAATATAACGTGTTCTTTAAAAGTGAATCAATGTATTATTACTGATCTTAATTATTCTGATTTTAATTCAGAAACTAGACATAGAAATATTCTATAAATTGATTTTTTAAACAGAGGATGCAAGAACTTAATATCAAAAATTCAAGAAAATTGACTACAAACATTTTTTTTCTATAAATCGTTTAATTTTTTGTGATAACATTTGGACAATGTTGTCATTATTCTCTAAAAATGAATTAGTGTATTATTACTGACTTTAGTACTACGTTTATAATTGATGTAGTCAGCGAATATTTATTGTTTTTTTAGTAATGTACTCTCTTTTCACTAGAGAGAGAGAAAGAAGGGGAGTTATGACTTTCTACAGATTCTGTAAAAACCATAACTTCTAAAAATGAATTAGTGTATTATTACTAATTACAGTATAAGTGTAGTACTGAAGTTAGTTAATAAATTAATATTACACTGATTCATTTTTAGAGAGTAATAACAAAATTGATCATTCAAGTGTTACCATAAAAAAATAAACGATTTATAAGAAAAAAAATGTTTTCGAATTTATGTTTTTAATTTATTTGAATTTTTGATATGTAATTCTTGCATCGCTATTTAAAAAAAAAATCTGAATTTACAGAACATTTCTACGTCCAGTTTCTGAATTAAAAATATTTGAAAGTCTCTTTCATGAGGCCTGTTTATATATTTGGCTGCATGAGTTTGCACTTGTGTCTGTCTGCATATGTATATCGGTACGTATGAATATCCATTGATGACTGCATACGTGCGTTTATATTGATATGTTATATTGACACATTTTATTTATTTTAGACTTTACATTTTAAAATTAAAAGTAAAACGAGGGTTACAAGCCAAGCTAGATCTTAATGCTAGATCAACTAACATAGGTTTATTATACAAACGTTTCAACCCCTACTGGGTCATTCTCAATGTTTAAAAAAAAAATTAAATAAAAAGTAATACAATATAAATTCACCATCGTATGTACGAAATTGTACACACACGATGAATTATTATATTTATATCGTATTACTTTTACCGTCTAAATCCATCATATGTATTGGCAAGTTATTGTTTTTTAAATGAGCCGTTGATTTCAAAGTGTATTTAATTTAAACATTGAGAGAATGACCCAATAGAGCTCGAAACCTATGTTTTTGTAGTTGATCTAATATTAAGATCTAGCTTGGCTTGTAACCCTCGTTTTATTTCTAATTTTATAAATTATTTGAGCCTTTTGTCTTTTACTATTTTTATATTTTAAATTATTAACTAGCTAAGCTCGTACAGATTTCAGTTGTGTGTGATGATTCAGTACTTAACATAACAAGTATAACGCATATTACAGATATTATTGACTGCGCGGAAAGCATTATTTATGTTGAACATTTCTCGATTTTCATTTAACATTGTTTACATTTTATTACATCTGACGTTATGGGCTTTCAATAAGCCGTTACCCAAGGCTTTAAGTCGTAAGAAATTGAACAATCACAATCGAATGAGAAAAGAATAATTGTTGAAAGCCCATTACACGTCTGACTTTGCACATATCTTGACTGTATTCAGATTGATTCGGACATTTTCCAATCGAGCGGTAAAAATGAAATATCGTGTTGAGGTAGACAAATACGAGGACTTCGGTTTTACGTTCCTACAGGTTTCGAGGGCAACAAAGTCTCTCTGTTCTTGCCGTAGCCCGTCGTTAGAGGACATGTTCTACAAGAGTGGGCACAATTTAGCAACGGAAGGGTGGAGAAGGTGAAGACAGAGGCAAGTCGGGAATCAGGGCTGGTACTAAACGCGAACGGAGGGGAGGAAGGAGTATAGCGGACGCATTTCTTGGAAGTAAACTTAATTACTGGGTGGTACTCGCTGCTCTGACATTTGGCAACGAGCCTCTAAATCTCGAAGAGGAACTGCGACGCCGTTCCAAATTGCACTTTCGCGGAGGCAATCGCGCGTCCTTCGCCAAGCACGACTTCCTACCGCGCGAGGACGCTTAACTAGCGATCCTAGCATAAATCCTGTATAATCCATAAATCCCAGAATCGAAAATTGTGCCAGCGCATGGTAAGATTGAAAAAAAAAAAAAAACTGAGATTTCATTCAAACAAAGCTCGCTGACGTGCCTATTCTTATTGATTGTGGGAATATTAAATAGGTATCTGTGTTCCCTAGTTATAAACTTGTCTCATAAAGAACCTTGCTTGCTCATTTCGAGTCCCTTTCTTTCATTTTAGCTAAGTTACTAGACACAAGGGACTCAAAGTCTATAAAACGAACAAAGTTCTTTCACGGAAGGAACGATTTTGCTGAAATAAAAAATTTACACAGACACAGATCTGAAAATAATCTTTGTTGAATCATTAAAGTAATTATGTAAGAAATATTCAAGTATGATGAGAGTAATGCTACTGATGATTTTGAAAAGCTGGCACATCACTCGATACTATCATAATATGTTGACAGAGAAAGAGTATTTTTTTTTTATTAACGATTATTAATATCTTATAAAAGGCGCACTCCGTCGTTACGGTAATGACAAACATTGATAGTCTGTGGCGAGTAGCTACAGTTACTAGTATAGTTTTAATGACACTTTAAATGTCGGAGACAATTGCTGTAAAACATCAGGGTGAAGTGGGACGTCGTAAACGTCACACACCTTAAAACGTAAAATATCGACTTACTACCCGCATTCGAATTTACATTGACGCCTTTATTCTTTTATTAACGATTTATTTCACTCGAAAATTTCTTTGTCATTTCCAATCTTTTGGTTTCGCAGACACTTCTTCGTATCCGAAGAGTAGAAATTCTTTAAGAAAATGCAAAATTCCGGGGAATAATGTAGCATTATTATTCTATAAAATTAAATTTAATTATTATGTTGTAATGTAAATTATTATGTATGTACAAATACATACCGATGAATGTTTACCATTTTGTTAAAAATATTTGAAATGTATTGGAAGCAACATTACACTTATCAATCCTTAACGACGCTATTTGTCCCTCCAGTAGTATTTTAATCAGTCCACGTTGTATACATGCTTATGCATTAAACATACGCGAGCGGAAACACAAGAAGACAAATTTAAAAACCTACGTGCGCACCATAAATTTGTAACGTCATCGTAGCATGCTTTTGTAACATTGAACGATACAGCAGCAAAACCGGTTGCATTAATTATGCTTTATTCTCATTAACCTCTGCAAAGGTGGTATCTCGTTGCGTATGTACGCTCATAACGACGTATAATTAACGAGCATTCGCTTTAGTGGCTTCAGGATGATCGGCAGAAGATTACTCTTTTATTCGTAGCACCTCAATATCTCTATAATATGGCTCTCAAAGATTTAATACCAACAGGATCGGACCATAGTAATCAGCTGAAACTATAATGCTTCAATTTTAAATATTTTTTCATTACGTTTACTCTCCTTTTAGAGGCGTGCAGCCTTACATAAATTTAATGACGACAGAACGTAGGTAAATTTCTTTCAATATAATAAAATTTAAGTCCTTTGAAATTATAAGGCTTAATTAAATACATAGTATATTTTATTATATAATACAGATGAATTAATTAACTAACTTAAGAGAAAAGAGTAGAGAATTTTAAATTAATAAATAAATAGATCTTAAAAATATTTAGGTCTTCAAGTAGAACATACTCGTATGTTGTTTTTCAAAGAAATGCTGATAGGATAGGAAAACATGTGATATATATTTAGTATGATTACCATAAGGAAAGAGGAATGGAGCTTGTTAAGCGTAGGCCAAGTCGTTGGTGGCATATTGCCCCGTCAGCCTAACTAAAATGGATAGCATCTAATCTTATGAAACAACAAGATAGCAGCAGAAAATAATGGCGTCGTAACGAAGCAAGAGGGATACAGAAGGAAGAGGAGAATAATCGTTTGCTAGATTAATCGAGGTTTGCTTTACGTCCTTGAACTTTCCGCTCCTTCGAATCTCGGAATTTTTCACCCATTAAATCCTTTGCCTCTTAGCCTTTTTAAAATGCTTAAGCCCGCGTTTAGTCTCTTAAATATCTTGCTTTCGGCTTTTTATCGTCGCACATTTCTTTATTCCTGAAAGCTCTCATTCTGGTTTGAGAAAAACACATTTGGCACGACAAATGTTTGGACTCTCCAAGTTCTCGGGGGCAAAATTTAATATTTTAAGTTAAAAATAGCAGTAATAGTAGGAAAACAATAAATGTAGAGCGTAAAGTTTGGCGACTTACAATTAGTTTAAGATCACATTCGAGAGTTCTCGAATGTTCGTGTTGTCACGTCACTTGCAGAAGTTCCAGTTTCTTGTATCCTTGGGGGATCTGTCGAATCCTTGGACCTGGTTGGTTAGCAGCAACTGGCCCACTTTTGTTCCTCGTTACCGTCAATACTGCAGCGCGGCAGATACTCGATAATTATGTCTTAATTAAGATGTTTGACCT